TTTTTTTTTTTTTTTGCAAAATGTTTATTTAACCTTTCCAACTCCTTCAGAGAGTTGATTAGCTATCTTTTTCTTACGATTCTACCCTGTATTTAAGGACAAGACATAAATATATATTTAGTTGTTTCTGTGTTCACTTCTAGACCAATTACTACCAAGAAAAACTGATTATTTATGAGGAAAGTTATTTTGTTGCAGTGATATACTTCCCATAACATAGTATACCTCACTGATCGTAGAGTGAGAATTTGTGTTTTTGCCTTTCACTGTGAAGGAAGTAAAAGAAATGTAGAAATAATTAATTCTGGTGTGTTTTCATGATTACAAATGATTATTTCATAAGTACTGATGTTTTTTGATATATTATACTGGGGGAAACGTTTTCTCTTAGACATGCAGCTGGGTTTATCCATGGGCCACCCTGTCACCTTGGTACATAAATACAGAGACCCGGTCCTGTGTGTTAGCTGTCGCATGCAAGGCTGATGACCTTGCACTGTAATAATAATTGTTGCGAAATTAATGATTTGAATCTGGGTGCACTAATACAGGAGACAAATGTGGCAGAATCCTGTAAGGAAGTGTGAAGTAGATACCAAGATGAGGAAAAAAGCAGAAACTTTAATTGATGCTGGTAAGGAGGTTTGTGTAAAAGTAAGCACAGAGGAAAGTAAGTATATGTTTATGTTTCATCAGCAGAATGTAAGGCAGAATCATGACATAAAGATAGCGAACGGTTGCTTTGAAAAAGTGGCAGAATTCAGATATTTGAGGACAGTAAACGAATGGACAGCAGTTTTACCCACTAGAGGCGCTGTCGGTGCTCTGTGCAGTGTGGAGTGGGGGTATGGAGTTTGGAAACCGTGCCTCTTGCGGAGAAATTTTGAAACTAATTTGTTTATGTCGTTTATGTGTAGGCAGCCATTTTGTGAGTTGGATGGTGTAAGGCGAAGGAAGTGTTATGAGGATTTTGTTGAAATGTATGTAGTAATAAGAAGTGTTTTGCCGTTATTTACTCATTTAATGTGGACATTATTGGAGAATGTTTAAAATTGTTTGTGAATGAATAGTTTTTTTTTAATGAAATCGAGAGTTGCAAATGCCGAAAAAAAAAGTTGCACACCGGGGAATGTTAATTTCAGCTTTCGAATTAACTGGAACAGTACGAGTTTATTATTATCATTGCTTTAGCCAGTCTTAAGAGTTTCTAGGACAAACATNTAGAGGTAAAATAATTTGCAGATCAGAAGGAGTGAGTTAAGAGAGAAACAATAATATACAGTAGGCAAGAAAACTTTGCTGAAGTTGCGATTTAACCTTTTAATTGTCAGTGGAAGAAGGGATGTATTTCTGAGTTTCCGACCACAGACTATAGCAAAACATGTACATTAAATTTGTGAAATAGATACTGCTTTAACAAGTGCTATTATTCCAGTTATTTTTTCTTTCTGCCAAGTTAGGTTCCTATAATTGTGGAAACTAGAAATAGGGCATATTTCTTAAAACTAATGGCCGGGTATCATTATCATGTGTCACCAGTTCAATGTAAATGCGTTATGACCAGCAGCTATCGAAGGAATGGACCGGTATGTACTGTATTCATCTGGCTGAGGACAGGCACTGGTGGCAGGCTCGTGTGAAATTGTCAGTAAACATTTTGGTTCCATAAAATGTTGGGAGATTTTTGAATAGTGGAGTGATTGTTAGCTTCTGAAGAAGGGCGCGTTTCCATGGCATTTGTAAGTCTAGGTCTGTGCGTGGCTTCTTGCGTAATAACAATTAAGTGAGGAGTTCTCCGTCTGTTATTACTTGAAGAACATTCTGTGTGGGCATTCTTATGAAAGAGAAGACATGTGTGTGTGATGACACAGTATGATGAAAATACATGGGTTTCACAGTTGACTGATAACCTCCAAAAACCCATAACCCATTTATATATGAAAATAAAAATGTGTCCTGCCTACAGTTAGGAAATTGAAGTAAAATTGCAGCTGTAATAAGATGATAAGGAAGAGAGAAGAGCATGCTCATTATATTAGCTCATTCTACTTAATGTAAGAGGCTTTTTTCTCGTGCTATTTTGGCTGCAACAGGAAGTTTAATGTGGAGAGTTCACTGGATGAAAGAGTATTCTTTTTAGAGATAAGAGGGAGAGAAGTCAAATTTTATAGCCACATTTGAATGTAGATCAATAAAGGGGAACATGTTCCCCCTCTTATATTAATATAGAAAGATATGATAATGATTGTTAATGTAGGGCCTTTGTTTTTTCTGTGTCAGAGAAATTTTTGCCTTAATAATAAGTTGTTATGCAGTTCACTTTTGAGTGGTGTATTATGTGAATCAGCTCAATGTACATGTGATGTCTAAGATGAGACTGTAGTTTTGGAGAGATGCAGTCCTTGAGTTTGTGTGTTGGGTACCTGCATTTCTCATGAGCATGATAGAATGTGTGAATCAGTCGCATGTTCTGTAGGATTCAGCTGTATTCTTTCTTCTTAACTTGTTTTTCAGTACACGGTTATGCATCAGCACATGAATTTTGTATGTGCTTCACCCCTTCACCCTGTTCCATCAGAGCGAAATGGCCACTGCAGATCTTTCCTTAGCTTGCAGAATAGTAGAGCATCCAGGAGCTGTGGAAGATGTGATAAAGAGAGGACACAGGTGCCTCCACCCAGAGCAGCCTTGACTCAACACAGCGTCAGAGGTTAGTGAATTTTAGTGACTGGTTTTGTGCTCTTTGGAATGTATTGATGATGATGATAATTAATTGAAAACTTTGGTTTCAGAAGTTGTTAATTTTATTTATTTGTGGTTTGTTTACTAATACTGTCAGTGGGTCGGACTATGTAGAGGCAGTTGTGATCTAGAATGAGGTGCCCTGCCAGCATCTGCCTGTATTTGGAGCTGGAAGTTGTTCTACATCTGTGGAACAATTTTTTTTCTTCCTACCTGAAGATGGAGGCGGTACGTTCCTCCGAAACGTCGGTTAACACTATATCTACATGGCCCCACATCCCAGAAGACTGCTTTCTTCATAGTCACCGCCATGAAAACATCAAATCATACACAAAAACTCAGTTGACGCTACTAAGGAGGTTGGTCTAGAAGTAAACAGAGCAAACTAAGTATATGTTGATGCATCATCAGGATGCATGGTGAAGTTCATGTATTTGGCAATAACAGTAAAGGTAAACATGTAAAGCTGTCCCTGTAACAGGCCGTGGAGGCCCATAAGGTTGTGAGATGTTGAGGCTTGCCACAATTTCTAGACAATCGGCTGACAGATGGCGTTGAGGCAGTTAGCTGTACATGCCAGCCACTTTTACCCCCAGGAAGATTCTTGGATTTCTGTTAGAGGCTGGGTTGGCCCCAGGGCCATACTGCAACTGGGAGGGATATGTCAATTGAAAAATCCAGTGACCTCATTTAGAATCGAACCTGTGATCTTCTGGCTTGTAGATAGTGCCCCAAGGGAATAGCAGTAAGAAATTAGAATTTGCCCCTTGAGAAATTAAAGCAGATAAAGTTCAAGTAATGCCTGCCATCATTCTGGTCAGAACCATCTGTCTTCTCATTTGCTGTCTAGAAATGCAAAGACTTAAATACACAAAAGCATAACTTTGTCTATAGTTTTGCATGGGTATGAAACTTGGTCTCTAACATTAAGGGTGTTTGAAACAGGGTGCTGATAAGAATATTTGACCCAAGAGGGATGAAATAATAAGAGGTTGGAAAAAAAAATGCATAATGAGGAGCTTCATAACTTGCACTCTTCTCCAAGTATAATTAGAATGATCAAGTCAAGGAGGATGAGGTGGGCAGGGCATGTAGCACGAATGGGGGAGACGAGGAATGCGTATGGGATATTGGTGGGAAAGCCAGAAGGAAAGAGACCACTGGGAAGACCAAGGCGTAGTTGGGTGGACAATATTAAAATGGATCTTAGAGAGATAAGATGGGCTGGTAACTTCGTTCGCAAATCAAAATTCATACTTACCAATTTGCATATAAGGAACCACCATAACCTCATATAATTGCGGGAATTCAAATTGGTGTGTTAAGGCTCTCTGATTGGTCGAGTTCTGTGTGTAGTACCCGCCGTCATTCATAGAGGCAGTAGTTACTGTTTCTCGACCACCTGACTACGACCACTACGACCTCTACACGTTTTAGTTCTAGGTGGTAGATATTCATCCGCTGAAGAAAACGTTGCGTATGCGTAAAGAATTAATTCACACTTTTCCTTTACCTTCTCTTATGGTCTCAGAAAACAAGACTATAAGACGTAACATGGAAGGAAAGTATTACAGGTTTTATGTACTGATATATGAAGCGACATAATTAAAATGATTAGGTTCTATCTTCCTTTGCATAGGAACGCTGGAGACGTGAGGACCAAGTTAGATGCCATTTTGAAAGAGGCTGTGTGTGGAGAAAGTTATAACAATTGCGCTGAGTTTTCTGAGTGATATTGCAAGCTATGATGGATGCTGTACGGGTCGCCTTGAACACTTTTACATATGAAGATCAATTAGATTTCCTTTCGAACTGGATAGGTGACTTGAGAGACAAGAGGAGATCTTTTAGAAGAGGCAGGAGGAAAGACTTGAGGGTGCAGGCTATTTTAACCTGTGCACTGAAAGAAGCTAAAGCCCTTCTGAGAATGAAAGTGGGAGAGCGAAAACTGTGACAGCTTTTGGAATAGGACGTAAGTAAATCTGATTGTAATAACGTGTGTACTGCCACTCTAATGATAAACTATCAAACCAGTGGGATGAAATAACGCGAAGATGTAAGCGGTTTGAATAGGTTGATATGTCTGCTGAATTAAGGAAAGAATCCTGTAGAAAAATTAACCATGTTCTCTTACGTTTGACGTATTTTCTTGACTCCGATATTATACAGGTATTTTCTTTTCCATTTCAGTCTCCCGGTTTGATATGGCATGTCTGCCTATCATTGACGTTTCGTGATAAGAGTGACCTGAGAGAGAAGGTTGCATTGTAACCTTTGAATCTACAGTGGTTAGAGTGTAGATAATTCGGCATGGTAGCCTGTGCATCTAAGAAATACTGGGGTCCCCCCCCCCCAGGCAAGGGTAACAACGTGACTTGTAAGACAGTATTTCATCATACCGAGTTTTAGTTGGGCATTGTTATCTCAAGTCAGTTTCTGGTACCCAGTCTCACACATGTGCATTGATTAGTTCCCAGTTCCCTTAGTTGGATTTCTGATGTAAGTTCTTTATAGTCTCACATGCAACAGTATGCTGTACAATATTTATTAAAAGTTACTCACTTTAAAAGTTTAAAGATCCATCACTACATGTTTTCAACCAGTATGGTCAGGCATTAATATTATTGTTCAAGGAAACTGCTGTCTTCTATGGTTGCCTTGTTGTTACCATATAAGTCCTCTCCGTGGTTATATGTGTATATAACGTGTACATTTAACTATGAGAGGTTATGTGTGTGAAGTTTTTGTGTGTTTAGTAGTAAAACTTAAATTTAATATTCAGTGCCATGATTATTCTAAATGGAT